TAAGATTACTGTTAGTATTTTAACTATAATGTTTTCTGCTCTCTGCTGCATATCTTATGCATTTATTAGTGGAAAGAACGATCTAGGATTTCTAAAAATATCCTTAAAATTCTTAATTATAACAACGCTTCAAAAATATTTTGAAACACATAACTTAGTAATTAATCCCTTTTCCTATGACCTATACCTACGTTATCCTAAATAAAATTGAATCTATTAAAATTTAAGTCCTGCACTTTATACTGTTATAGTGGGTTTGGATATAGAAAAGGGAGGGGACGGGAATGATTGAGGTAAACTCAATGAAAAGGGATGGAGAGGAAATAGATGGTATGAGATTAATTGTTTTTGGACAGACAAGAAGGGGGGAAATAGAGTATGTTGTAATCATAGAGTATATATGTTATATTTGTGTTTATTTAGAATAGTGAATGGAAAGAGAAGGAATAATATATGACTAATAATTACCCTTTGAAGAATAATTCACACATCTAATTAATTTCTTTATTTTCTCTATGCGCAATAATGGAATATTGGGAAAACTTCATTTAAATTTTGGTTCATGTTAGAAAGTTTAATTGTATGAGGGGATGGATATTTGGAGGAGTTTAATCTTCTTTGATGGCTGGTTAATCAGGAGGAAGCAGATCCCTATACAAATAACATTCGTTAGAGCGTCAGGGAATATTTCCTTGTCATGCCCTTCGACATTCAAGTACATGATAGATTAAGCAAAATAGTAAATGCAGAATTCAATTATAGGATTTTATTTTGCGTACCTTCGTGTAGTAGAGTTATCCACTATTTATAGAGAATTTGTGGGGGCATGTTGGTAATTCGACTGGGTTGGTGCAGTTGGTCGATCATACTGCACTTTACACGCATCGACAATCGGTTGAATGAGTCATCTTTGTATTTAATGTGATAGTAACAGAATGACGAGTCATTATGATTTCAGCTCGAGAATTCATAATGACTCTGGCATGCATTTAATGTCATGCTGACCAGGAGGCGATGTATGGGCGCTAATTGGCCATGCGTTAAAATGCGAATGACAATAGTGAGATTGATAGGTCATCCCATTGTTCGAGATATTCTCTAGTAAAGTCTGAGCAAAAGACACCTTTGTCTCAGACTTGGATTCCTTTAACAGATCTCGACTTGAAGAAGTCGTTCGTCTCGGACTCGGATTGCTAGAGAGGTCGGTAGCCCTCACACTCAGGTCGGACTTTCAGATTATAGAACTCGGCTCGTTAATATGACATGCATGTGACCAACTTTTAAAGACTTAATAGACTTGGTAGTTCTCAGGTTACAACCGTCTTGATCCCTCCTCACTCAATCCGTCAAACTTTAGGAGGGTTAATAAAGTGAGCAAATTTATCTACTTTTAACCCTCCCCTACCCAACCACCCCCCCTACTAATTAAGAATTATAAACAAAGCCACAAGCTACAGTGCAGCAGCGAAAATTTTTAGAGGGTATAATATTACATACAGCCTTCCTAACTCTTCCCCTTCCGTTCGTCCTAAAAAAGCATATATCGATCCCTCATTGTTAAAGCATTGAGCTAAGCTCACTTTAGTCATCCGCTCTGGTCCCTAATAAAATTTCACTCGAAATAGACAACGTGCATCAAAGCATTATCTTAAGACAAAATAATTACGTAGCTGATCACTAGCAACACAGCCGTGTAACGAAACGATGAGGCAGCCGCGTCGCGGCAAAGCATGGCGCTGGACACGTGTGAACCAACCGCGAATCTCTCCCTCTGCCTCTCGATTAGGGCAAAACCCCCGACACCCTGCTCCTCGATGGCCGAGCCTTTAGATCCAATTGTAGGGTTGGTGCTCCTAAACCTCACATGGCCTCTGTACACCCCGCAGGCTCACGTTATCGTCTTCCCCTTCTTTGTCTCCTGTTGTTTCTTCTCTCCTTGTTCTTTACGCGCGCTCATTTTTGTGGCTTCATCCTATGAAGCTTCGAGTGCCACGTGACGCGCGCACTCTTTTGATTAGGTCCCGATCTTGAAAGTTTTTCTATTACGTTATGTTTTTTATTTGGGGTACAAAGTTAGGGGACCGGATGTGTACAGTGCGCTGTATTAGATTGAGATTCTAAGGTTCGTTAAGACTAATTTTATCAAGTTGATTTGTATAATTAATGATGTTTTGAATACCACGGGTGGCATTGGTTTTTAAATTCAAGTTGATTAGGGAACAGATCACTCGAGTAATTGTACGTAGAGGGTGTGATTTTGAAAGCATGTGAGTTCTGATTATTTTGTAGTGTAATTGTCGCGTACTTTCATGTAAATGTGTGCTGGCTAATTTTATTAGTAATGGGCCTGCACATACAGATTATTTTGTATCTTAGAGTGATTGTTTTAATAATCTTACTTGTGCTCTACTTGCTTGTGTGATTCAAAATGCCCGAAAGAAAAGGTTGTAATAGAAAAGGTTATATCTTATTCTCACAAATGCAATTGTTTTGAGTTTTGATTTGAACTGGAGAATTTTTCTGATGAATAATTTGTAATGCAGATTTTAGGTTACGTATTTTGTAGTCCTATACATGTGATCTTTATTGCTTGTTCTCACCAATTTTGTTAACCTAATAAAGAAATGTCATCTTTAGTTTTAGTATAGGAAATGATAATTGTACTATAAGTTCCGTACTACTTTTGTACTAACACTAACAAATGTGTGTGGTCCTTTTATAGAAATTGTCAAGAAAAATTGTGAGTTATATATCTTGGATCCTACTTTTTTGTTTGTAGGAGTATAAAAAGCAGTATAAGTTTTGTATTACAGTTATCATTGTTCTTTCAGTGTACCTTTTATTCAGCAAATTTCCAAATAAAATATGCTAATTGTATTGTCCTACATGAAGAAAAAGAAAATTACCCTTAAGATTGCAATTTGGTGTCGTTCTTTCTTTTCATTTCTTTGTGATTGACCATAAAGTTGACTGAGTGACCAACCAAGAGGAAAAAGCACCTTCAAGGCCTATGGGTTTGGTACATTTTCCTTGAATTTCCCACAATATGGACCCTTTATATGTACGGCCCAAATTATTGCAACTTTGTATATACACCAAAAATATTCCAGACCAGCTGGAAAGCTAATGAATTGGGGAACATACAGTTACCAAACAAAGAACATGTGATTAAAATGCCTTTGCAAGCATGTGCAACCATTCCATACCATCTCCAACCTTTGACTATGAGTCTATGACCCCTCACTTTTCACCTAAAAATTGAAAAAAAGGAAGATTTTTTTTTATAAAGAAAAGTAGATACTTGGGATTGAAGTATGACTAACTATAGATCTCCATCATAAGAAAGAGAATTATTATTGTTACTTGGTAGCATGATCAAGTTGGTGGCAATCTAATGTGTGTAGTTATCCCTGCATATGCTTTCTAAAGAATGGAGAGTGTTAATTAGTGTTGTTCATATGCTTATGTTTATGTGTACAATCATTGCTCTGGTGATTCACTAGATCTCCCTTGTTATGTACCTACCTTTTATCAAATGTATGACTCAAAACATTGTATACAATTGCTTAATGCAGTGAGCATGGCCCTCGTACTTTAGATATGATAATATGAATCTAGCTTTTGCTCTACTTTTGTATGTCTTGATGCTTTTCGAGGAAAAAGACTACCCGAATGAGTAGTGAAATGCCATAAATAGATACCTCAACAAAAGGTTTTTAGGCAGTCTTTTTAATACAATATTGTTGAGAGTAAACTATTAGGCAGTTTGCAATAGGATACCAAAATAATATAAGGTTTTCACAAACCTCAGACACATATGGGTTTAGATTGCAAATCACTACCTTCAAAGGAAACTTCTCAGAAAATGTGTTGAATTTGTTAGTATTGGAGAAAGAACTTTGGTTCGTAGAACAATAATAAGTTCTTTTGAAGTTAATTTTAGTTAAAGAATAGAAAATGATTTACTATCTAACTACATTGCTAATTACATTCATGAGAGGATTTGCCAATAATTTAGGTTCATAAAATTAAAATCAGCAGAGGATTGTGGCAAGTTGTATAAGGAATTATGTATCTATTTTTGCCATTTCTGATTATTTGGACAAAAAACTGGCCCCGCAGGAAAAACTGGGAAAATCACACTCATATATTTCAGGTATGCATTTTCTCTTCATACCCTTCATTTACAAGTATTGTGCTAATTCTATTATCATCTCTTTGATAAAAGTTCAGATTTGCTACTTTTTCTTTTCATCCGTCTTTCTCAGGTAAAAGAAGTCTCCACTTGAAAATGCTGAATTTATTCAGGATTTGGAAAACTTAGAATTACATCAAGGTATGCTCTTCTTGAGGTTTATACATTAAGAGAGCTGTTCACATGTCTCTGCTTATTGAACAATCAAGTTAACTGTCATCAGTTCTCTTTTATTACAAGTACCTTTCTACTAAAGATGTGCTTGTATGTCCATACTAATGGACAGTTAATGAGTTGAAGTTGAACTCGAACTCATCTTGATGTGATAAGCTTGGGTATTTCTATTTCCAGCATGTTTATTTAACTTAGAATTTGATTTGCAATTTTGTCTTGATTTTATATTTATAAGTGCATTTGGTTTTTATTTAAATCTTTATTTTTTATTTTTAAATTACCACTTAAGTTTGTTTTAAGACTTTTCTTATCTAGTTCACTTATAAAATGCAGTGGCATAATCTCTGAAGGATTAATCAGTCGTGGATGATCATTTGAAATGGTTGATTTTGAGTTATGTGATCAATGGTCTAATTCTATGTCTCCTCTACTTTTATAAATTTCCTCAAATATTTAGCCTTCTCCTGCCTTGTTCCCTATTCTTGTCTTTACGTTATCCATATTTTCAGGTAGTCACTTATTTCACTATATCAATATGGTGCTACTTTTCCATTATGTTATGTGCATTTAATTTCATCTTAGAACCCTGAAAAGGATTTCCTAGGAGCTGAGTTGCAACTAATTACCTGCACAAATTTGGTTATCGATAATTTATGCCAGATCACCAGAAACACGCACTTCTTCTTATGATCATTGGCACGAGTTACACTTGTGTACATGAACTTTTAAGTCCAATAAGCATTCCTCATATATTAACTAACTTACCCCAGCCTCTACTATTCTATGAATTTCACATAGTTCAAAAGCTTCCAATTGTTTTACCACCATCATCTAGAAATAAAAGATCCAACAACTCCAGCAATAATCGCTGTAGGATCCCCCAACACCGCTGAGATTATGAACTGAACAGCCAAAGCAGCCACTTCACAGCACTTCTTCATCTTCCCTTTTCTTCTGTGTTGATTGATTCCTGCTCCTCTAATGATCGGAACCTTAGTTCCACTCACCAATCCCTTTGTGCCCGTGTTTCCCCATCCACCACCTCCACCTCTAGTACCGATATAAATCTCGTGCCAGCTCTCAACCAGCATCTCCATCACGCAAGCCACGTGGAGGTTGTATTTCTTGCAGGAGGTCCTGTATGTCCAGCTTCTTCCTCGCCTTCCACAGCGATGACATGATGCTCCTACCTGTGTGAAAACAAGATAAAGTAGATTCTTTTCAGTATAAATAAAATAGAATTATATAAGTTTTTATTTGTTTCACGATAAATAAAAATTTACTCTCTTTTTCGGGATCAAGTCATAAGTTATACACTAAGTTGCATGGGTATGGGTGTTGGTGTGGGTATAGGTATGGGTACAGGACAAGGCAAAGTTGTAAAAGATAGGGTACAGTGACACAACTATATGTATGCATGGTATGTATATTTATATGTATTAAAAGTAATAATTTACATAAGATCAATATTGTTTTTTCATTTATATAAAATCAATATATAAGCAATAGATGGGAAGTATAGAATAGACATCCAGTAACTGTATGAGGAGTGTTTTAAATTAAAACATGTATTATACAATTGAGTGTATGCTATAATTGAGTATATGCCCAAATAAACATATGAATGTATTCAAATAGTGCCCAAGAGGTCTGGGTATGTGTACGGGTACGTGTTGGGTACAGCTTCCTAATAGAAGTACCCATGTAACATAGGTTGTACATGTCTTAATGTCTAAGGTACGCTACCTGTGGTCCGTGGTTAACACTTATGTGTCTCTGTGTCTGAGATGTATCGAAGACATTTATGACATTCTGAACCTTCAGGTTACCATTGCATCCAACTGTTTTGTTCTGACAAATATTCAGCTAATATTGTTGCTAATAAAGTTGAGTTTTAGGATCGAGGTAACTACTTGGTGCAAAACATGAGGTCTATACTTGTCCTATTAGTTTGGATGGCCAGATTACTTACATTTTTCACTCAAACATTACCTTGGACAACATTTTATTCTTTTATGTAAAAAGTTGGACATGATTGATATATATGCTGCTGCGTCAAGAGTACAAAATTGTTAATTTATTATAAAAAGTAAAAGAAGACTGTTTAATACCTATATTAAAGGTTATATAACTTTAATTATGTATTTTACCATGAACAAAACTTAGACTATCTCTCTACGATCAAATCACTAATCCAACAAAAAGCCCGTAGAAGAAACCTACATTACCTTTCGGTACAGGAATAACCTCACCCCTCCCTCTGCATCAAGCACATGTGGGAGATTTGCACAGCAAGGATGAAGATCAAATCCACAGGTGAAACAATGATAGACAAATCCATGAACATCACGCTGACATGCATTACAATAGCGAGCAGTGTTCCCTGGTGGGCGAGACAGAAACTGAAATGTACATTTAGGATAGAATGGATGACGAATCATAGAGTTTGGTTGCGGAAGTGCACAATGCTTGTGGAGATCATAGTCACAAATGGAGCATTTGAAACGAGATCCTATCCCAACTTCTTTGCAACCGTCACACTTGAATGGGAACTCTGAGTACTCAACCCTAAGTTTGTGTTGAGGGTGGCTGAAATGAGTTAATTCACCGTACTTCATCAGTTTGGGGGGTAGAGAGTTTGTGACAGTGTAGAGTGAATAAGGTTTTTGGGTGATGATCTTATTATACATGGATAAAGCTCGGGATAAAAGGGTGGTTGGAATTTATTCTTTAGAGGATTAAAGAGTTAAGAGTGTCGACACCTGGAATCGAAGAATTTGGTTGCTTGAGGGTTTTAGTGATTTTAGTATGCTAAGTAGTAGGCAAACTGAGGTGACCTGAGAATTGTGCTTTTAGAAGAATACAGGGGTTTGGTGGTCTAGAATTCCTCTTTGGTCTCAAATTATGTCTTTTGAAAGGCTGTACTGCTTTTAATTCTATCCATGAATCATGATTTGAAGAAAGATAAAATGTGGAAGACATTTTGTTATGCCAGATAATGCTGGAGTAGGTACGATGATATTAGAAAAAATGAAAGTCCAGGAGAAAATTATTATTAAAAATACCATTTCAATGGTGTGTAAATATTTTTGGAAGGAATTGAAATTATAGAAAAATCGTTGCGGTATACTGTATTGCCTTGTATTATAAATCCACATTACATTAGCTAATTCTCCGGGAAAAAAGTGCTACTCTAGCTGTTTCTTTTAATTTGCAGAACCTGATACCTATGCTTGACGCTAGGCTGATATACCCAGTTTCATCTTTGTTACACAAGTAAGTCCTCACATATATACAATTTATGCGTTGGAGCAAATATGGGTGTTTCTGTAGTACAAAAACATACGCTATGATTTTTCTATTTATATACTTAAGCCTGAAAATATAGAGCTCGCACGCAATATAAGAAAAGGGTCGTCTAAGTGAAACAGCTGACGCTATGAACTTCTAGCAGGGTGTTGGCTATGCAACGTTGAAATTGAAATAACGTTCCAGTTCTTTTTTCTGTTATGCTCTGGCTTTATAGGAAGTGGATATGGTTCTCTATTGTGAGGCACAAATAACCATATGTCTCTGATTTCTATAATTAGATTATCGCTCAAGCTAAAGTTTGAGTTGATATAGAAGAATAAATACTTACCTGTGTGTTTTAAGCAGCAGTTATTGATATTAGTCGACTCAACGGTCTAGAGTGAACGCAGAAGTGGAAACACTTTCCTCTCAAAACTAAAACTGCTTGGAAGAATATAACCAAAACCTTTTTAGTATGCAGATGTTTCGTATTCCTTACCAGGAATAAGTGAATAACAGCATAAGCATTCAGACCCAAATGGATCGAAAGAATTTGTTCTGTCTCAAACCATAACCAGAATCATGTTCTGTAACCAAGAGTAGAATATCGGTCACAGCCCGAAATTTATTGTGGTAGTAAAGGTTATCTTTGTAAAGCGAAAATAACTTGGATAGCGCTCATGCTTACTCTATGCTTAGCAAGAAAACCTATACAAATTCGGTATTTCTAAATCAAGGTTAATATCAAATCTAAACTTATAATCTTGATGTTCTGAGACTGTGTATTCATTTTAGCCAACTAGCTTGAAGAACCATAGAAAAATGAACAGGAATTAATGGAAAAATTTTATAAAGAAGGTCAACCATTAAACAGGCAAGATATGAGCCAAAATACTACATACCAATATTAAAGATTTGTAGATCCTTGTCTCAGGAATTTGTTTTTTTTTTTTTTTTTTGGTGCAATTAAAAATGTTCTCTAGAAGAGGATAAGTTTGTCTAATAGGAATTTTTTTTTTTTTTTTTTTTTTGGTGCAATTAAAAATGTTCTCTAGAAGAGGATAAGTTTGTCTAATAGGGGACAGGTCCAGCTGATGGTTTTATTCCATAATTGTATGCACCTTGAAATCCATAATGCAATACACATAGGATTGTTCTTGATTCTCATAAAATTAAGCAAAGGGAACTTGTTCTAGATGTCTAAGAGGATTCCTCTTTAATAATTGTAATATAATGGCCAAGGGAATAAACCAATCTGTGGGCTCTAAAGACACCAATAAACCATTATCGTCATCCCTTGTCTTGATTCCTCCCGTAAGTGAGGCTAATGGCCGAATTGAAACCTCTCCTTTAGCTGAGGAAAAGGGATTGAGGAATGCAGCATCTTTAACCTTGTCCTTTTACTGGGAGTTTGAAGAAACATTTTTTTTTTACTAGCACTAATTTATTGTAGCAATATTGTTGAAATTTCAGTGTTAGTTCTCCAATTTGCTAATAGCATGTATCCGTGTTTAGTAATTATAGTGTACAAACTGTTATTTAATAACAGCAAATGTAGGGGGGCAAACTGCAGATAAGATATTATCCAAAAAATTCTTGGATAG